GTGGACGCCTTCTGTCTGCTCGTACGAATGTTGCAGATCTGGTGGCGTGAAGTAGCAGCTTCTGAATAAAGTTATTCACTGCTTCATACAGGCAGATTGTCGTGCACTACTCGTTGTCTTCTGCAGGTGGATCGTAGTATACCAACTAATCTCCTGCCTTAGGTCATAGGAGCTTGCATTTGTTGTATTCTCCATGCATTTTGTTGTGGTCTTTAACTCATATAATACATTCGCCACTGCTACAAGTAGACAGGTAGATGCATTCTTTCACAAACTGAAATTGACTTCAGGATACTGCATTTACTGAAGTCTTTCTACATCTACCTATCAGTGGCATGTGACACATACATCTGTGTTTGTAGAAAGATCGTATGTGTTACAGATCTTTATTTTTACTTGTAAGTAATATGTAACATGCATTGTATGCTCTTTGTTGTCCTCTGCATGATACTTGCATTCATCTTATGTTGTAATTTGCATATTTGCTCACGGCTTCATCATTTGTAAAGGAGTTAGTGCACCCATCTGCGCACTAATGTTGACTTTCATGTGGATTATGTTCATTGTATATTCTCTCTATGTACTTGGGCTGACAGATAGTTGTGTTTATTTGCAAACTGTATGATGTCGAGTGTAAGGCATCATCATATTCATAGCATGCCTTTCATGTTCAACACACATTAATCTTCAACACTTGTAGGAATTGGTAGCCTTTATTTGATAATTGATCGAATCCACTTGTAAGGATGTTGTAGCGTGCTATTGATTGTTCATCATGTTACTTGCCATCAAACCACACTTGCGGATTCTCTTTTTGTCATGAGTCTTGTGTCCAATAGTTTGCATGTAATTAGAAGCTCATTGTTCTGTTAATCACATATGCATCATATGCATGATGCTATGTTCGATAAGATCCATGCAAGTTCAAGCTCATTGTCATGTGATTCTAATTCAAGCAAGTTAGGTTCATACTCAACTTCAAGACTTCATATCTTTTGCATTTTCTCACTTAGGCCCCTTGCCATTTGATTGCAATTTCCATTCTTAAATGGAATTCAGTTTAGCCTTGTTCTTTATATCCAACCTTGTTTGATTTTGATGTCATCAATTAATAATCATTTGAGTTCAATTCATGATCATTTGTTCAAGTTCAAGGCTTGTAAAGTTCAAGCATGAGACCAATTTGAGCTCATGTTCACAACACTTAGTTCATTTGATTTAAGTCTTTTGTTGCTCCTTATCAAGCTTGAGTTAATATTCAATTTGTTCCATTTGAGTTTAAACCCAGCTCAAATTTGAGTCCAAGATGAGTTCTTCGTGGTCAAGTTGCAAGTCTTCTATGTCATATGAGAATGACGTAGATTATACATGATAGAGTTGCGTAATAACATTTGATTTCTTAATAAAATGATGATTCATTAACGTTCATTGAAAACTTTGTATCTTTAAGTGTAAACATGTCATAACATTTTCCACTTGATCTTTATTTGTATGATTAAAGTTCTCATCTTGTTAAAATGCAATATTAATTTTCATTTTGTCTTTCATTCGTTCAATGTCAAGTTCAAATGGTTCAAATCTTGTTCAAGTCCCCTGTTGTCCAACTCAAGTATGAGTTCAGTTCAAGTTCATGTCTACTGCAGTCTCAAATCAAGTCCTCTTGCACTTTGTTCAAATGTTCAATTCTTTGTTCATCTCATTTGATTTACAAGTTTAGTTATAGTTTGAATTAAGTTAAAGTCTTTTTATTTGCTCAAATTCAAATATGAGATCAAGTTCAAATTGTCCAAGTCTTGTCCACGATTCAGTGAAAATTTCGGCAGCCTCCCGGCGTCTCCCCCGTTTAGGGGAAAACTACGGGAAACTGGGTCATCCCACCACGCTACTCGAGCGTGTATGGTAGGTGTCGGGAGGACACCGGGCCGTACATTTTTTCATCCCACCACGCTACTCGAGCGTGTATGAGGTCTTCAACAGTATCCGTAGGCGAGCACAGGTAGATCTCCCCACCACGCTACAAGAGCGTGTATAGGGCTTTCCCATTTCGTCGTATGCGTCGCACCCAAACTCCCCACATCACATCTCTTTATTAGATACTTATGTACATATAACAGTTACAACATTTAACAACATTAAAATAAAAAAGATAACCAAACTAATTAGCAACCAATACTATTAAAAAAAAGAAAACTTAGATTTGATTTTCTGTAAAAAAAAAGTTGGCTAACGGGCTGAGGGTTATTTTGATAACTTGCTGAAATGATTTCAACAAGATACACTAGGAAATAGAGATGTTGTGGGGTTCTGTTATAAGGACTGTTGTTTGGGCTGAAAAAATCAGCAACTAGGTTCTGTTTTGGGCTGAGAAAACCAGAAAATGAGATCTGTTTTGGACTGTTTTGAGTGTTAACAGAGAATTATGGGCTTTAAGCTGTAATGAAGTGTGGAGGTGTAAGGAATGGGCTGCAGGTTTGCACTGGATTTGGGTTTATGTGGGCTGATTTTGGTAGATTGTGGGCTTTAAGAAGTGGAGTTTGGGTTGTTGGTAGATACATAGGTCTGTAACGAAGTAAGTTTGTTGTTTTGAATTCTCACAAAAGGTGATATGAGACTCAACGGGCTGCAGCTTGTAATGGGCTATTTATGAGGAGATATGGAGGGATTTGGACAAGATAAGGGGCTGTTTTGTGGGCTGTTTCATGTGGGCTTGCACAACAACAAGAAAACAATCATAATAAAAAAATATATATATAACACTTATACATTTTGCACAGGAATTAATAAGACATAATTACAACATCAAAATCAGTAGAGAGAACAAACAAAAGCTCTCCGTTTCTTTTTAAATTTCACGTGGATAGAGCCAACGGGAACTTTTTTTACCTTTTCTTTTTGAATAAGGACAAGTGCAGGAATCTCAAAGAAAGAAAAAGGCTGTCTTGGATACAGGTATAGGTTCAAGTGACAAATGAAGTTGTCTTCTCTCTATTGGATGCAAGCAAACTGACGAATATAAAGAACCTGGTTGTTGCCTTCAAATACGAAAAAAAAAAAAAAAAACTCTAATGGGAACGGTGTGGACGTGGGAAATCTGGTTGTAAGCGGTCGTAGGTAGAGGACGTCAGTTGTGAGGGAAGTGGAAGGCCGGCTGAAGCAAACTGTAGTCGGATAGTGAAGCTTGCAGTTTGGGATTGGGTGGAGCTCTCGGACACGCGAATAATTCAGCTCCTTGTGTAGAAATGGCTTAGAGGTTTATGAGGTTGGAGAGGTTTGTAAGGAGGCCAGCTGTGACAAGATGGATTGACGGATGAAGCGACCGGAGTTTGACGAGACTAGGTAATGTATTAATCGGCATTTAATCTGAATTTGACTTCTTTCTAATTTGGCATCTGAATTCTTGTTGAGATTTTATAATTGTAAACACTATATTGGTGATACATCATCAGGTGCATTAATTTAGAATGACGAGGCAGCTTTAATCAAGTCAAAAGCCGCCTCGATTTGCGTTTTGCTTTCTCGTTTTGCGCGTCGGCTACCTCGTTTTACGTGTCGATTTCGCCGAACGTCAAAACTAGACAAATTGATAGTGCATTTAGGGTATTGCTGATGTTCCGGTCGCAAAAATGCAGTCTGTTTCATGATTGGACATCGTTTGAGCATCCTGAGGGTAATTTTTATACGGGGCCTCCTCGATTTGCGTGCACCAGCTCAATTGAATAAATTGGTAGTGCATTTAGGGTATTATCGATGTTCCAGACACAATGATGCAGTCCGTGTCCGTTTGAGCACGCCGAGGGTAATTTTACATGGGGACCGCCTCGATTTGCGTGCACCACCTTAATTGAATGAATTGATAGTGTATTTAGGGTATTGCCGATGTTCTGGACACAACGATGCAGTCCGTTTTACGATCGGGCATTGTTTGAGTAGCCTCGCACTTTAATTTTGGGTGTCGATTATCCCTTTTGACTGATCTCGCCCGATTTGATAGCGAGGGGGCTCGACCTAGCAGAATTTGATGTTATGATCGCAACGGCACCCTCCGTTTGACAATCAGAGGTCGTTTGATCCTTCAAGTGACATGTGGCGCCAAGGTGCGTAATTCTTTATTCACTAATTGGGGTTCTTTCTTACGTGGTTTGAGGTATAGGGGTCAACAGCTGCATATCCTTTTAGGACACACTGCATAGTTCCATTGTGTTCAAGGAAATGTTTATAATACTTTCCACTGGGTTCTCCCTAAAATGCATGGCATCAGGCCTTGGCAGTGCACTGCATATCTTTTCAGAATTCACATCGTAGTGCCATTGTGTCGGAAGGGAAGGCCTTTGTGAGGCTCTTCTGTTAAGGCCTTTTATGATTGCTTGCTTTTATTTAGACTTTTTTTGAATGATTGAGTCCAATTCATTTTTCATACTTTGCCAAATTCGAAAACTCTTAGAGACAGTATACTAAACGAGCATATACGTGAAAAGGTTGGAGTAGCTCAAGTGGAAGATAAGATTAGAGAGAGTCGCCTTAGATGGTTTGGTCACATGAAATGGCGGCCTTCCGATGACCCGATTAGGAGAGAAGATGTATTAGATTTGGCTTATGTTAAAAAAGGTAGAGGTAGACCTAAAAAGACTTGGTTAGAAAATATTAGAAATGACATTTCTTTATTATATTTAAATGAGAATTTGACTCTTAACAGGGCTAAATGGAGAAAAATAATTCATGTAGCCGACCACACGTAGTGGGATAAAAGCTTCATGTTGTGGTTGTGGTTGTTGTTGTTGTTTGTTGTCGAATTCGAAAACTTTAAAATTTTTTAACTTTTGTTATAAATTCTTTTTAGTAAACAAACATTTATGTTTGCTATGGATTGGATATTCATGACAAGTTTGATTCTCAAGTAAATGAAAATTTATGTACTCATTCCTCCAAGTTTTTTCTAGTTAATCCAAGAGTTCATGCCTGTCTAACTTTTGATTATGAACTTTGTATCTTCTGCTATTCAGCTTTAAGGAGGCCTTCTTGATGCCATTTGCTACGGTGTCTAAGAAGATATATTGTGAAGACTTTCTGCCTCTATTTCCTTCCCCTGCATCTACAATTTCAACACTGAACGTGCCTACGTCAATTTCTTACTATAAGGTGATTCTTTCTTGGTGTTCTAGGCTCTTCTTAGAAGAACAAATGAACCCAGTAGCTTCCTCTGAACGCTCGATGAAATTGATTGTATAGAGAAAACTTGAGTATCAATGTTATTATAGGCAAGAGCATTGGTTAGCTTTTGTGGATTCTATTAGCTCTGCAAAAACATCAAGTTGTGGAGCAAAACTTTTACGGCTGAAACTACTAACAAGCTTCATTTCATTGTGTTCTTGAAAGAAAGGGTCTAGGCAAATGTGGAAAACAATGTAAATATTTCCATATTGTCATTTCCTTCCTAAATAAAAAATTACTTCAGTAACTGGGAGGTGTGCTTGTGCTTCTAATTTGATAATTTACTTCAGGCCTTAATATTCATTAACTTGGAACAATGTTATTTCAGTCCATTATGATTTGGTGGTTAGGGGGTACAGTAGCAAATCTACCACTTGCCGGATCAATACTCATGCACACTAGCAACTAGCATGTGCTTCAAGCTATTCCTTGCTGTTATGTAATTATGAATCAAACGAAATATTGAGAATCATTTTCGTCACCTTCAAGGGGTAGGTTGGCGTGTTTGTCTCCCTCCCATGGTTGGTGCCAATATCTCCTTGTCTTCTCCACATTGATCTACTTCCTCTTTTTTGTTGGTTTTTTCATTATCCCTCTTTTCATATTGACCTTCCTCTTATATATATTGTATTTTGCTACATACTTTGCATTAAGTGGTAATAGAGTTGGTAGTCAAACACCCAAAGATTTTCCATTATTCATTCTTTTGTTATTGAGTTTTGCATAAAGTGTTAAATTTATTCTTTGTAAATCTTCTTGGACTATTTCATTATTTTGCCCCTTTTTCATTCAACATTATAATATCTTTACTTTTTGGTGCACTTTCTATGAGTCCAGACCCTTATTTTTCTTGACCCATCAAAATGTGTTACTCCCATTTGCTCTCTAATATAATTATTTCTCAAACTATCATCATTAGTTTGTCATGCATCAGTTTTAACATTCTCATTTTTGCTAGAGTCAATTTGAGTATATATGATTTCCTATTAGCGGTGTAAACGAGTCGAGTCGCCAACAAAATTGTGAGCTCGAGTTGAGCTCAAAAGGCGTTTTCGAGCTCGGTTCGCCAGGATAGAGACGGGCTCATGAGCCAGCTCGCGAGTGCAAGAACAATGTGAGAAAAAGAAAAGGCACCTAGAAGAGGAACTGCAGCTTTTTTTACCTTGGAACGGGAGAAGAAAAGGTGTGAAAGAAGAACCACACGCTTGAACGACAGCTTTTTTTACCTTGGGGCATGGAATGTGGCCTTTGCTTTTTAATTATTTATATATATATGTATATATATATATATATACACACACACACACACACACACAAAAGTTTCTGAGTTACAGAAGTTTTTTTCTTGGAATGTGGCATTTGATTTATATGTATAAAGAAGCTGAAAAGTTAATGTAGATTTAATAATAATAAATTATAGCTTTAGTATTTTTTTTGGAAAAATAATAGCTTTGGGAGAAAATAACAGTATCATGTAGTTTTTTTTTCTGATTGAAACTCCTCCAATGTTTTCAAATCGAGTAAACATATTTATTATTTTTTTCAAAAAATTCTGACTGCTAATATGAGCCGGCTCACGAGTCGAGCTTAATCAAGATTGAACTCGAGCTCATTTAATAGTCGAGTTTAAATTTAAGCTCGAGCTTGCAGCTCGATAAGCTCATCTCACGAGCTTGTTATTGAGTCGAGTTCAAGTTGGTTCACGAGCCAGCTTGGCTCACTTACACCCCTATTTCCTACAACATAACTAATTTCAATTTTTTAAATTTAATTATAGGTCGGGTTTCTTGGTATCTCTTATCACACGGTACTTATGAAGCTTTTTTTCATTCTATTCTTCCAGTCTTAACCTTAGAAATTATATCCTAATCAATATCCCCGTTCTTTTATATATCTATTATACTTAAATTCAATATATATATGTATTATTAGTCTTTGTATAATATTGATTGATAAGTATTAGTATTATATGTTCCAATATTGCATATTATAAAGTTATTTTTACAATAATCTTAAGCCTTTTCTAAATATTGTCTTTTTTTGTCACTTATTTCAACAAAACATCAAGTTACATCCCTTTACATCCTTTGTAAGTATACCCATAACTAATATAAAAAAAAAATTATATTGACATAATATTGATCCTTAATATAATTCTACTATCATTAGGAGCTCTTCAATTATTTTGATACTAGTTGATCTTCGATCATACAAATCTTAATAGCTTTAATGTACCTTTTGTTGTACTTTTTTCTGACAACTCTCTTACATAATGTATACCAAATCAATTATTGTGATATTTAAATCATATTCCTTCTTATGATTAATGAAAATAGTATAAATATCATTTATCTGCTCTTAATATTTTTTCATTAATTGTTTGAACTAAAACATTATTCCTATAGTGAATTTATCCTATATAAAATTAAATTGTTTTCTTTTATATGACCCATTTTTTTGTTAAACTTATATTACTTTGTCTCATAACTCCATATAATTAATCGTAAGTGTTATTCCTTTATTATTACAACATGAATGTTTCCTTTTTTTTTCTTCTTAAATACTTTTATTTTAATAAAGAGGAAATGATCAAAATGATCGTTTGACTCTTTATGAAAGATCAAAATAGTCTTCAACTATACTAAATGACAAATTTGGTCCCTCAACTCCTTAAAGCGGAACTCAAATAGTCTCACCATGGGACTTTTTTTATTATTATTATTATTTTCTTTTTTTTACTTAAGGGACTAAAATGGTCCTTTAGTATAGTTGGAGACCATTTTGGACCTTCATAAAAAGTCAAGGGACCATTTTAATCATTTTCCCCTTTTAATAAAACTTATACAATTATGTGGCATCCTCTTATTTTCAAATTTCTATTAAAAAGTTTAGAACATGAACTACTAGAATATCACACAATTCTTGACTCTAGACAATTATCACATCTGATGTTAAGGTTTAAATTTTATGCGTCTTCTTTAACCCAAAACCCACTTCAGTTTATTGGATCGCTTATAATATACTTCATTGTTTTTTCATAATGTTCTTCACAAAAGAAAATTCTTTTTATACATCAAATACCATATGTTGTATCTCTCTCCATTGATGTAATGGTACTTTGGAGTGGATCTTAAATGAGAAGTAGCAGCTGAGCGCAGAAAACTGATTACAATTTTGAGCCTATGACTCAGCAACCAACCAACTGCATTTCCAACATTATTGGGACGGTAGGATTTCATAGGGTACTCGTCAAATTATGTATAAAATATGGCTTTTACCTTATTAACATTAAACAGATTTGGATGGGTCATTGCAACATGCTAGGTCCATGTAATCCCTTGAATAAGTCCAAATATACCATTTATGAAGGTCTCAGGTGACTTGGCTGGTAGGTTGGTGTCACCGTTGGGTCAGTCAGTGTTCTAAATATGCCCACATGTATACGTGAATTTTTTCGTGTATGCTCGTGGGAATTATTGAAAACTGACATAGCATGCTTTTCATAGCTTATTTATGAACTACCAACCACCGTTTCTTGAAGATCATCTTGTGCTTATTTTATTATGGCATTTTTAGTTTAATAATAGGGATTTCTTTGCTGTGCAGTTAATTTTAGAACATATTATATTCTCTTTTAAGATGGTACAATTTCTACTGTAGGATGATTTTGATGCTGTATCCAATTGCGAGACTTCTCTGCCTTGCCTTTTGGACTATATATGTTTTAGAATACCGGATGAATCGTTACATATGGCGAATTGCATTGGCATACTGAAGGGTTTAACGTGCAACTCAAGGTCGACTGACAAAGGATCAACATCCCTTGCAGCTCTTGTATTACATATTCCTGAAGGATATCGGTGTGTTGATCTGTCTTTATATAAGGTAACAATGCAAGTCCTTAAATTCTGATTTCTTAAGAATTTCTTATCTTTCACGTTTTCCTCTTTGTTGCTGCTAGGAAAACCAGCTCATTTTATTACTGAGCGAGTCAATATCTGTTGAGAATCTCGGACAATCATGGATGATGATGCTTCAAATGAACAGTCTTCCCTTTGTATCTATTTCAAGATCATTTCTCGGAAATCTCTGGAACTTACATGAAGTAAATGTTTCATTTATTTTCATTAATACCTGTTAGTTAAAATAAAGTGGGTGGGAAATCATCAGCTGACTCCCACTAATATTTTGATTTATATTTGTCAGCTTGCTTTTGAAGATGAAAAAGATTATAAATGCTGCCTATTCTATTGGAGTTCTGATTTATTAGTTTTCATATTCAAATTTGAGGAAGGTTATTATAAGCTATTATATGTTGGAAAGGTTTACAATAAAAATGGGCTTGGATAGCAATGGAGATGGTTGAGAGATAAAATTATTATGATGAATGATAGTGTGATCACTATTTTTAACTTAGGAATGAAGCCTAGAATTGTGATATGGTTACAAATTTTTACACTATAAGTTTAAATATTAAAAGGATGCCAAATGATTGAAGAACATATTGGTATAAATAGTTAAAAGCAGAGGAGATGTTTAAATTTGTGATAATATGAGGAACAAGCTGATAAGTCATAAAATGAAGTTATGGAATAGTAATGGAACATAGATTTAGAAGTAGTGCAAAGAGAATAGCGAGTAAAGTAAAAGCTACAAAGCTTTGATGATTATATAATAGGCTTAGCAATAAGAATTAAGAAAGGAGAATTATAGAATTACTAATTTAAGAGATAAAGTAGTCTAGGAATGTTATTCAAGTTAGCTCTCTAAAAATGAAGATAATATGAACTTGTTAAAAGTTGAAGATGTTAGAAAAAGATAAAAATTTTACTTTGGAAATTACTAAATAAATGTTTTAAGGATAAAATTATTTTGGAAGAGCATAACTAATAATATAGTGAAGTATATTATAGTTGTTCCAAAAAAATGAGGTATAATTTGCTTTGAAAAAAGTTGCTTGCAAACCAGATTTTAGGTCTATATGAGATACCTATTGAGATTTGGATTTTGGAGAGTTACATTAAATATTATAATGATTTGATTAATAAATCTTTTTTAATTGAATTTTGAAGACAGTGGAATTAATAATTGGAGAAGAAACATTTTTTAACTAATATTTAAGAATAAATGTGGTGTTCAAGATTCTGTTAAATATAGAGGAATCAGACCTACTGGTTATACAATGAAGCTATGAAGGCGAGGGGTAAAACATAAACTTATTACATCAATTTCAAAGAATCAATTTAGTTTGATGCTAGAAAGATCTATTGTAGAGGACATTTTATGTTAAGATAATTAATAGAGAAGTGTAGAGAACCAAAAAAAAATCTTTATATATTTTTTATTGATCTTTAGAAGATATATGATTGAGTGCTATGATAATTGATTTGGTGTGTTTTAAGATAGAATGTGTTAGTAAAATGTTAATACTATTGAAGATATATGTCATGGAATATTGACTGGTATTAAAAATAGTTGTTTATCCAAGAGTTTTCAATTGAATATGTTTACATCAATGATCAACATTGAGTTATGTCTTTTTTTTTATTGGTTATAGAGAAACCTACATAAGATATTCAAAATGAGGTGCTTTTTTTTTCAAATGATATAGTTCTAATTAACAAGACATCCATTGAATTCAATGAAAAAATACAACAATGCAAGAAGTGTTTAGAAGATAGATGCCCTAGAAGTGGTAGAAATAACACTAATATATGACATGTAATTTTACCGACCAAAATGCTAATAATTTTCATTCTATGTTATTAAAAGATAAGGTGATATCTAGTCGTGATAAATTTAAGCACCTTTGATCTATTATACAGTAGAATGTAGATACAGATAATGATTTAAACTTCTACAGTTAAGGCTAAATAGTTAAAATGAAGAAGTGGCTGAAGCAGTTTTGTGTGATAAAAGAATATCTTTAAAGCTTAAGGGTAAATTTTATAAAATTTTAATTAGGCTTGTGATACTGTATAGATTTAAGTATGGAACAAATGAAATATTAAGATTAATATCTGACAAAAATAGGAATTATAAATTAAAGAATGATTATGTTAAAAGAAGTGTTAGAGTAACATTTATTGAAGATAAGGTGCCTAAATATAAAATTAGGTGGTTTAGACATGTTATGAAGGGTAGAAAATGAGTCCATTAGATGACTTGATAAAATTCTTGCCAATGATTAATAATTAGGAAGGAAAATGGGTGAGCCTAAGTTTTCATGGTTAGAACTTGTTCAAAATGACCTACAAAGAATAGATTTAACACATCGGACAATGTTCAATATAAGCAAATGAAAAAATGAGAATTCATAGCTATTACCCTAGATAGTCAGGATGTGTTAATTTCTATGGAAATGATTTTGTGCTTGGATAAATAATGCATATGATCTAGTATTATGAGAATTAATTTGGTGTTTATTAAGAAATAAAGATATATCAAACATGTTGAAGTTATTAAAGATATTTATGATAAAGTACTAACGAGTTTTATAAATACTTGTGGAGTTGATCAAAGATTTTTTATTTATAGTAGGAATATATCAAGTATCAAAATTGACTTCATATATTTGTTGTATTTATTGTGAAGATGCTTACAAAGAATGTCTTAATATGCTTTTTGTTGCTAGTACTATTCTTATCAATGAGATGCATATTGAATTATATTATTAGAAGAATGGAGAAAATTTTTAGAAGATTAAAGCTTCAGTAGAACAAAAATTGATTATTTAATATGCAATATAGTATGTGTAGTACTTGCTATTATTAGAAGATAAAGTGATACCTATATATGATTTGTTTATCTTGGATATATTATATATAAGAATGGTAGCATAGATGATGTGTAACTTTCTGAGTTAAGGCATCTTAGGTATAATGTAGAAGTGTCTTAGGAGTATTATTAGATAGGAAGGATATCATAGAAACTTAAAGATAAACTTCATAAAGTTCAAACCTGGATGACTATGTTGTTGGTAACCTTATGTTGGGTGAAAAAGTCTAGTAATAATTCAACTTTGGCGGAAATAATAATGTAAAAAATTTATTTGTTTCAAAATTATGAAGAAAATTTTTTGGAATGATTTTATTAAATGAATAATTGGAGTGACATTTATTGAAGATAAGTTAATTGAAGCTAGACTGAGGTGATTGGTTGATGACAGTCAAGTAAAATTTGTTCAAAATAATTTTATGGAGAATATCCTAGTGCCTTAATCATAAATCAGTTAGTAGGAATGAATGGAAAATGAGGTTTTGTCATGCTGATTCCATATAGTTGGTCTAATGCTAATAATGATGATAATAAGCTGAGTACTTTTGAGATAAATTAGCGTTATAAATTTTGTTAATATTTGTGCTCATCAAGTTGGATTAGAAGATAGTTTAAAATTTTAGTTTTCGGAAGAGATGAATATCTTTCATGGTGAGTTTCTTAGTGAGGCAAATTAATTTTTTTTCAGTTGAGGCAAACCCAATGTGAAATTTGTTTTAGCAGGAAAATTATTGTAGAAGTTTTAGGATAGTCTAGAAATAAATAAATTTTTTGTAAGAAGATACAGGGATGGAATGAGAATGTACAAAATGCTATCAAGAAAATATGCCTTTTTAATTGTTGCAAAATGTAAATTCTATTGAGGCTTCTGGTGACATAATAAAGCTAGAAGTTTCATGAAAGGGATAGTGAACCAAACAAAAAATTATATTTGTTATGATTTTATATAATAGCTTGGTACAAAAAATGAGAATATGTAAAAAGTTTGTTGAGAAATTAGAAATCTTGAGATTTTGATCATTTTAGATGCTTTAAAAATGAAGATAGATCGTAGTTAATGAGGAAGAAACTATGGAAAGTTAAAAGTATTATCTTGAGAAATTATTTAAAATTTTATATTTGTATAGGAATATATTTTGGAAGAGTATAGCAAACGAAGTAATGAGGCAGAATGTATATATTGATCCAAAAATGTAGAATTTTCTTTAAAGGAGTTCATAAAGTTAAAGTTATAGGACAAGATTTAATGATATTTGAGGAGTTATGGGATATACTGTTATTTGGCTATCAAAACTTTTCAATGAAATTGTAAAGACTAAAATGATGTCAATGATTGAAGAAAAAGTACTTGTTGTCAATATTTAATAAAAATTAGATGTTTAAGATTTAGATTATTATAAATGAGGCAATTTTATGAGGCATGCAATAAAATAATGAGAGAGAGAGAGAGCAATGGAACGAACAAATTAGGTTAGCTTCAAAAAATTTATTTTTTTCATGCTATGTTGATCTATCCTCTAAGTGATATTTGTGGGAAGATAATCAATGAAAAGCTATGTACAATAGAGAATGTATCTTCATATGCTTTTAATTGTTTTTGAGAAAGCATATGATTATATTAAAATGTATGTTGAAATATTAATAAAATGTATGATGAAGCATTACTGGTGTGTCAAACTTTTGAGGCGCAGTTGTCGGAATGTCATCTTGTGTTTTAGCCACAAAAAGTATAACCATGCCTCCCAATCTTAATGATGCGCAAGATTCTATTCTTGGAATTGTGAGAAGCATCATTATCATTTTGTGCCTTCATGGTATAGAGGAGAATATTTTTTTTTTTACTTCCCTTTGAAGGACCACCTTCATGTGGGGCATTAACATCATATTGCTAAGGCTGACTGAGAAGAATGTGACACATCCATATCGATGATATCGCAAGCAATTTTGTCTTGGTAAAACTTTCCAGTAGGGATGGGAACTTGGTATAAATTGCTAACATGAATGAAGAATCCCATCTTGATCTACCCTATTTTGTACAGTTGGAATTCAAGTAAAATGAGAATTTTTATCATTGCTTGAGTAGTAATATTCTTGCAGCTTCCAATGTTAATAATCACATTTCAAACCTTTTTTTTTTAACTGTACAACGGGTACATAAGATGTGATGTCATTGAATTGTCGTGTGCTGCTTTGTGAGGAGCCATATTCTTGCAGCTTCCAATTAATTACTATATTTTTTTATTCTGGTATAGAACCCATATTGGTTACCAAAAGAAAAAAAGTTCTTAAATGGGTGGCACTAGATTTGACTGTTTATTATTTCATTTCTTATTTGCTGTAGCCTTTTTGGGTCAAATTCTGATTTTTTTTTTTCAATTATTGCACTCTAGGGTTCTGCAGTGGAGTTGAACTTGAGCAGAGGTAAAGTTCGTTGCATTCCTCACATGGTGACTACCCCGCTGGCTGTGAGTGGTAAGTCGATCCATTTTAAGTGTTGCTTCCTTCCTGTTCTTTATCATGCCATCAAATTTTCAATTTAATATTTCAACTTCTATAAGGTTTGCATAGATTGTAAAAAGGCATCCATCTTTCTGATACCATGAAGTATCAACAACTATCAGAACCGCCAAAATCCTAATCTTCTTCGGTTACTGTTACAGTTGGTCTTTCTTAGGTTTCGTTTGGGTCGGCTTTCTTCTTGCTTCTTAAAGCAATTTTTTAGTACGAAAATTTTAATTTTTAAACTAAAAAGTTGCTTTAGAAGCAACAAAAAAATCATCCCAAACGAAGCGTTGATTTTGCTACTGCTTTATTGTGGTAGAGATTATGGTGGACCTTAAAACCATGTCGTCAGTCAAAGAGCTTTTTCCTGTGATTAATTAAAGATGATAAATTTTAGCATAATCATTAATGTTCATTATTCTTTTTATTAATGTGTAAAGTATATATATATGTTGTTTAAATTTTTCACTTTTCCCCTTGGTCAAATTTGTTAATTACATTTTCACAGCCTCCAGAGGTGTGGCTTCTGTTTTCTCTGCACGGAAGCATGCTTTGGTTTATATTCTGGACGAGGATGAAGATGAAGTTTCTGATATGGAATGAGATTTCAACAGTTCCAACGGACAGAAATTCAAATTAATGTCGTAAATCCATTTGGAAAATTTATTTATTTATTTATTTTTAATTAAGTTAACTGTGTAAATACCAAGAAACTTATAGAGTTCTACCCTTTTTTGTTCTCCCTTGTTACTGCTTGGTTTTTATTTTTATTTTTTAATGTTTTTTATTTATTTATCATTTAACAATTTATCTTTATTTGAAAATATATTTGAGCTGCTGCTGCTAAGATCATCTCCAACGGAAAATCGTATTTTTCACTCCAAAATACTGTGAAACTTAAAAATGCTGCGATTCATCTCCAATGGAACACCATTTTGAGAAGGTAACGATCTTTTTTTCTCTCGCTTGCTTCTTGTCAAGTTTGGTAGACCGAGAAAAATAGCGATGATGAACAGTTCAACGTCAATATTGGCGTCCTACTGTTCACCCGCATGGAAATAGCGGAAGTTTCATCGTTGGACTGTAGCTCCGAGGTGACGGCATTCAAGTATTTGGAGCTCCGAGGTGGTTTTGTTGTGCATGTGTAAATGGTTAGAATTTGTTGCCTCAAATATTACATATTCAGCTGAAAACAAAAATATTAAAAATGTAATGATTCTTGGTGATTTGTAATTTATAATTGGAATGATTTATCTTTGAATAATTACAGGAGAAATCTTGGATCATAATAGGTTTTATTGGATTTATTGTGATTAATAAATGATTAATAATATAAAGTTATATTACATTTATTTCAAAATAATATTCAAATATTGATCTGGATGTTTTATCCAAATTAAATTGCCAACAAACCATAGAATAACAAAATTGCCAAACTATGAACAAAATCAATTTTTTTTTATAATGTTGTTTCTAAAATTGAATTTTATGTGGTCTTCTAATATTAGATTATTCTAAATATGTACAAAATTTACTAATATATATATATATCTCAGCATTATCACAAAACATTAACAGTAAGCATAATCAGTATCTTAAACTAAGAACCCACTTAACAGACATCATTAAAAATAGCAAGTCCTTGAGGGCTGAGCAAAACACAACAATAAGAACATGAAGGCTTACTTAACACATAGGGAAGCAAATTACTATACATATGGGAAAATTCGTCTTACATGATAAGCATAATATCATCACTTAACAAGGAAACTCGTTTGATTTCAATTTTTCACCATCTCTGCCTGCTCTATTGATCTTCAAGCTCAACAATCTGAGCTCTTCTCTCTGCTGCTTTCTTCCTAATGAAGATGCCCCATCTCATAGCAGCCTTGATTTTAAGCCATCCAACGATGGCTTTACCCGATGAACGGCTCCGATCATCATCGAAGTTGCAGGAGGGTAAAGATGGCATATAAGATGAGAAATTGTATCCATCTTCTTGCAGATTAGAAGTATATCCAGCCATGGTGAGGACTCGGAGCAAATGCTGCATGTCATCATTCTCTAACATCTCATGGCTTCTCATTCGGATTTCGTCCTCCGAGAAGTCATCAACACTAAGGCTCTCGCGCGGGCATGACCAGTCATCATAAGAGTTAATATTTACAGGTTGTATGGATTGGGTGTCACCGAGTCCTGTAGTATTGTTTCTAGTAACTTGAGCCTCCTGGGAGGAGCCATTGAATTGATGGTGAGGGTCAAAAGAAGTATTGTTGAACTTGAAATTGACATTGGAGTTCAATTGTTGGGGTATTTGGTTTCCAGAATACCCAGTGTTGAGCACCCCTGCTAAAGCATAACAGAAATGTCAAACAGTCAGAACTGTAAAGCTAAACCATACTTTTGGGCATGAAGAAGAGGAGCAATTATTACGTCCAGTCAAAACCGAATGTATCTGAATGTATACCGAGTTCTCAATACCGAGTTTCAGGTGACGTGGCGCATGGTTTTTGGTCTACGAACGCATTCGATGACCAGACGTAATAATTGCTCGAAGAAGAGAGAGGTAGGGTGGGATTCCAGTATTTGTGTTTTGTTCGAGTGCATTGATGAATTTAAAGATGAATGTAGATATTGATGTTTGTCTAGACTGGTTGTTGGGTGTCTTGATTTATAGATGCAAGAACAAGTGTAGGCGTCACGAAAAAAGATAATATGCATTGAATGAGAAAAGCGTATGCATAGATCAATGTTGTTCGTTATGCCAGACTGATCATGCATGTCATACTTCTGAAAGGGTGCTTCTAACTCTGCGATGTGTAAGGTCTGTTCTGAGGCCTCTTTCTATCTTGATTTTTGAAGCATTTACAAGATTAACTATTCAATGTCGAAGGCTAACCTAAGTGCCCAATGTTTGACAAACTCAAACAACTAATTCAATTGATCTATAACTCTGCAATGGTCATAATTGGGCCCCGGGTGACGTGGCGCATCAGGATTCGCCTCCGGATGCCGCACGTAATAATTTTACCGTTCAAGAGATCATTACGTGCGGTGTCCGAACCATTCAGAGGCGAATCCGAACGCGCCACATCACCCGGATGCACTGGGCCCCGGATGACATGGCGTGTCCGGATTCGCCTCCGGACGCCGCACGTAATAATTTTCCCGTTCCCTATGACCTTGATAAATCGTAACAGCAGTAACAACTGGCAAAGATTTTGCATGTAGTATAACGTCATTCTCCTCATCTTTCTATCTCCTATATAGAGGTAAAATCAGAAATAAAACCCATTGCCTTCTAATATTAATTAATTTAATTTAAAAAAATATGATACTTCCAATTGAGTTGAGGCTGCTCCATGATAAAAACAAAAGGAAAAAAATAATGTCTAAGGAAAAAGATTCCACAACCAGTTCTAAAGCTCTGACCTCCGGCAGAAATTCCTGCATAGGCCGAAGGTTGCTCCATAGCAACTGGAGCTGGCATCTGCTGTTTTGAAGATTGCAGGTCATGTGAAGGCTTAGTTGGGACAGCTGATGAAGTTTCATTGCGAGGAAACTTATTGTTCTGCTTGGAGCTCAGAAGGGCCTCGCCATCATACTCTATGACATGCATCCAATTAGCATATGCCTTTTTCACCAATGTATCAGCAAAAACCTACCGTTATAACAATAAAAATTTGAACATTTAAGTAGGCAAATCTCACCAAAATACCAATGAATTAAATATATGCAAATGGCTAGTATAAGGAGTAAAAAACAATACAATAAACACTCGAATTCATTGAAAAGCATATTCTAATGAAATACAAAGTTATTAAAAACGAAAAAAGGGACAGCTATTAATTCTGTCAAACCGGACAGAACTTACCGTCCATAGGCCAATCAGGTGCGGCCACGTCATCCAGTACAGAGCCGCGGTACCGAGTAGGGGCAGCGTGACGTATTTTTATTGGACTATGGACGGCGTTCGGCATCCGCACAGAATAATTCATCCATGCCTAGAGTGCCCTTGGCGCTATTGAAATCACTTCTGATAATATAATCCTCACCTCAAATTTCCCCATTATCAAAGCTTTGACAATTGAAATAATGATACAGGAAATAATTTCTACTAATTCAAATTAAGAGTGAAAAAAGCTTTAAAATATGTTGGAAAAGATTAAATTAACCAAATTTATCTAGTCCAGAAATTGCATATCTTTTTATTTATTTGATACAATTATACATCTCTTTATTTATTCGATGTACAATCCCAGATAGAAGGGACTGGGAACCAAAAGAATTCTCCATAATTCAGCACAAGGAACCAAAAACCTTGTCATGATCGATTCAGAACTATTTTTATTGATAGATAACTAACAACTACACGGACATATATAGAACTTAACATGCAAAAGCAAAAAAAATTTAATTAAATGACAAAATCAAATGACCACCAATTTTAGTACATAGAAACCAAGAAAAACATCAATACCTTCTGACTGTCATCGAGAGATTCTACTGAGAAATACCGTTCACCACCAACAAGGCCAGAAAATTCATAGATATTATTGAAAATAGCACCAACATTCCTTTTTTCATCAGAATAGTATATATAATACTTTCCACTAAGGACACAGGTTTTGGCATGCTCCAAAAGGATATCCCACATCTTATTTGACATGCCACTTCCAAGGATCTGCATTTAAAGAAAGTATTGAATGTAACAGTAACTGATCGACAAAAAACAGCACAAATAAACCATAGTGAAGCTTACATTTCTCAATCTCTGTTGATCTCTAACCAGAAAACGTAGAAAGTCTTCAACTATGAGAATCCCAGCCTTATTTAACTTCTTGTGGAATGCACCATCTTTGCCAATCTTTTCCAATCTCCAAACTTCATCTTTTAAGGCAGGTGGGTAGTGCTTCTTGTATACTACATTAATTTCACAGAAACTTTAAGGCGGAAAAAAAAATTCTACAAAAATCCATCACAGTTTTAAAATAACATACATTCTCCTCTGTGATCCTTCACAGTAAATGCTTCAGTTTTCCCCTCTCGGATTCGAATACCATCACAATATCCAGATGAAATCTTCAGCCCAAGCCTAAACTTCCTACTTCTTATCCAGCTGGAATTGTCAGTAAAAGTTAGTTCTCCAAGGGTTCCCACACCTTCTTTCAAGGAAACTTGTAAATCACCAGTCAAAAGAGGTCTCTTTCCTTCACGTTCTTTGACTACATGACTCTCGAATTCTTCATCGGTCAAGTCCTCATCATCTTCATTGTTAAAATCACCCTCAAGAACCACAACATCTATTTTTGCAAAAGACTCAGGTCCTGAGGTTACTACACGGCCGCTATTGGCATCAATTAGCACAACATGAATAGAAGCTCCTTGCTCTCCTTCTACTCTTCCTCCTGTAAATATTGGTAAAGACAATCTTGACTTGAAATGCAGTTGCAGGTTTCTTCCATCAGGCCCTTCTATGCGCTTTGGAGAAGACCTGCAGATATGAAGAAACAGAAGGACTTCACTTAGCAAACAGTTTTAGTGTCACATTGCCATAGAAGGTATATGACCTTGCAAGTCCAGCATAATAAAATTAACATGAATAAGCAGCATCGCGAGTGAACATTAAAGCCAGCCTACTTTCAATATCAATAATAAGCATTGAAGCCAAGTTCAACTACAATTGATTGCACAAAAGCCCATAAATGAAAACATAATACTACAATATCTATGAAGTATGAAGTATGTAGAGACAAGGCAAAACTGCAAAAAGGACATGAATTGTATTCTTCTATAAATTATCAAAATAAAATATGTAATTAAAATGCCTACTGTCAATATTTTTTAATTACTGACAAACTCTAACCTCATTATTTGAAAAAATCAAAAGAAAATTTGAGAAAACCTAAAATATAAAGATTTCATGTGGATTAAAAAATAAAAGAACATTTACTTTGAAGGGTTATCAGAGAAGGACAAAAAAATCAAGAACCATAGATTTGAAAATATGTTTAAAGAAATAAAAAATGACTAAAATGCTCCCTTCACTTTTTATGGAGAACCAAGATGATCCTCAACTGTATTAAAAAATCATCTTGATCCCTCAAGTCTTTAAAAATGAATCAAAATAATCCCATGGCGGGACTATTTTTGGTTTCTCTTTAAGGAGTTGAGAGATCAAAATGATCATTTAATATAATTGAGGACTATTTTGATCATTCATATAGAGTCAATGAATCATTTTGATCATTTTCTCATGAAAGAAAGATAAGTTAAAATCACACTTGAATATAAAAGAAAAGAGACAAATAAGCCACTGAGTCAAAGAAAAAGTCTTTACAAGCATGATAATGAAGTTGAGAGTGTTCGTGCAATAAAAAATAACGGAGGAGCAATAGGCTCCCCAAATGAGCAAGCTCGGTAAAGGAGCAATGGCATGGAAGGCTCAACAAAATGAAGATCACAAGAAAAACAAATTTGAGACATAGTGATAGAGTAAAACACGCCAAGCTTGGCACGAAGATAACGGTATCCCAAAATGGCAATTATTGAGGTGCATCTTGTAACCCTTTCAATATTGCAAGTCGCATCATGATCCATTATGGCATTTGTCAAAGAATGCCTCGTAACCTTCTACCATGAGGAAAACAATGAAAAACAAGGCTTTGTTGTTGAATTTTAGTCTTAGTTCTCTAACATATCATAATAACCTACTAGACTCATCCTCAATATAGCAGTTGCCCATTGCTTCATGCATGTTTTTTGCATACTTGAGGATGATGTCCTCCATAAACGCAGCCTTATGCCATTGCATCCTCTTCGTGTTAAAACCTGACAACAAAATCTCACAGCATCTTCTTTACTCAGATTATTGCTTCTTGCGACAATTGAAGTCATGATTTGAATAAACTAATCAAGCAATCAAACTACATTGAATCTAAAGATTACATGAATAATACTCAAATTGAAGTCAATTATAATGAAATATTGCTCTAAACAAATTGCCCTTAAAGAATGGATAATTAATCAAAATTTGCCTAATCAAATGCAAACTAGTTCAAGTTAAAATATATTTTGATCTAAGTTAGTTAGATTTGTGATTATCTCTTGCCTTATTAAACTCTTCCTATCAATTCATCTTCATGTAAGACAAAATTATAAGATCCACATTGATAAACCCCTCTAGACATATAAGACCTATACTAGGTATCTTGCATCCTGTCTATCAAAAAAATCACAGACAACAATCCCTACCCCACAAATCAAAACATTGATAAAAATTTTGATGTAAACCTATCTCCTAGGCTTCTTTAAGAGCAAGGATTTCCAGTCTCATTATGGTTGGCAGACTATGTTAAAATTCATAAAAGCCTCGCACACAAACAAGCACAATCTGCAAATCCAAAATGCAAAATAGCCCCAAATAGTTATTACAATAATGTTCCAGGAGAATATTTCAAATAAAAAAATCATTTGCTGAAAGCTTATATGTCCATAAATAATATAAAAACCAATATACGCTTGAATGTAGTGATGATCATGTCGATGTTTCACAAAATGTAATGGGAGCTAAATTAGCAAAATCTATTAAATTAACACAAAAGAGCTATAAATTATCTTCTATGGTGATGTCCTTGTACAGGATCAGCAATACCTGGAAGAAGACACAGATTGCAAGAACAAACAATGTAGGGGAAAAGGCACAGAGAAATACCTCTTTGCATTGCTCTGTATTCTCTTAAGAATACTGTAAAGTTTTCGGATGACAAAAAGCTGCCTATTACCAAACCTTTTCAGCTATATGTATTCTGTAATCATCCCCTAACTCTCTTTTGTAAATGTATAAAATAAAGATACTAAAATGTAAAAGTGCTGTCAGAAAAAGTGAAAAGGTAATACTAGGTAGTGGAATTCCGTTAGGCGACGCCAGCATGTACCGCCGGCCTTATTTAGTTAACCTGAGCTGCACCAGTCACAGCATCATATGGTGATAATTAACAAACAGGAGCACCAATTTTTATGCCAGTGCACCAATAAATATGTCAATACATAGAAAAGTGTGCCAATTCACCATAGTTTTGAAATAGTCACAAATTCAACACAAGAATTATAATAGATATTTGGATAACCCAAGAGGATTATAATGTCTTCCCAAGGACAATAAACCATCAAAGTGCCTATTTAAAGTTAAAATTAGCCTTCCCTAAATTCTCAAGCAAAATATAGAAAAAAAATTGATTAAGCAGCTAAACCAAGGACCTGAATTCAATTTCCTAGTTGATCCAAGGGACCTAATAAGTCATTGCCTCAATACGCATGATACATGCAATCCATTGAAAATAAAAAACAAACCAAATTAATTAATTAAATAGGATACCTTGATATAGGCTAATTATAGGGCAAGATGACACCTCAAATCAATTCTTCCATCTTGGTCACCCAAAGGATGTATGCCACATCCTAATTAACAAGACCAACGTTCATCTTTAAAACCCATCAAATCTAATTAAACAAGCCACCTTATCTATACGGCAAGATCATAAGATGCATTCTTAGACTTTTCACAAAAGGTTGTAAGTTCCACTTATGGGTCTTCCAATATATGTAAGCCCGAACTCGATCAAAATTCATAACAACTTTCATGCTATCAAGCCCACAAATCAAAATCAAACCCAACAATAAAAACCACACAAACTAAAAAATAAAAAATAAAAAAGCAAATCCTTCATGTCATAGCCATACTTCTTCAAGTAAAGTTGAAACTCGTGGAGAACTAATAGTCATGTTATGCCTCTGAGGCAGCTTAGTTTGTGTGGGAAATTGAAACCACTTATGGGTCTCCAATATCTCTTAGTTGCAAGCAGTCATGCTTTCTCTCAAAACTGTTATATAAAACTGACACTACCAAACCTCTAAAATCAACCTCAAAGGAATGTCTTCGACACAAGCAGTTTCACCTAAGTATGCTCAAATACAAGAGATATAATGCAACATTTGGCTACTAATTAAGCTCCCTAGATATTGTTATTTATAACCCTATAACATAGTAAAATTGAATCCGTTGGTACACCCAAGATGAATGAATCATAAGATCTTAATTGAGTCTAACACCATTACACCACCGATCCTCATTAAGTCAATACAAACTAAATATTGAATCTAAGCAAAAAAATTCAAGCCTAAGAATGTTTCTTAATCAAGAGTGGTCTCCTGTGAAAAGAAGTTGCAATTAAATTTAGAAGTTTGCTCTTATTGGAAGTCTCAACCCCATATTTAAATAAATTCCCAAATGACAACAAGAGAATTATAATTAAAATAAATATAATCAACCTCAAAGAAAATAATTCCGAGTATTCTCTCATGCACATTCACAAACCTCTGAGAGAAAGGGTTGGTTTTTCGTAAGTAATTGACATCAAATATAACTAATTAACTATTCAAGTCCACTTCAAATTTATCAAATGCATATTAGTTATGAAATGAGCTAATAACCCATTTGGACGCATACATGACTTCTCAAATTATTTGTTGCGAGCAAATAACATTAAGAAATAATGTTTTAAAAGGTGGAGACGGAATACAGATGTTTTACCTATCATAAGATGAGGCAAAAGTCCCATTAATTTTCTTATTTTAATATTTTATAAATAAGAATGTGTCATCATAAAATCAAAAATAAGGAAAATTTAGGGAAAAAAAATATGAAATTCAAAATACATAGCCATTTTATTCATATTCTAACTCCAAAATCTAATAACATAAATATATAAAATAGTCTAAATTTTGGCAACCAAGCGTCGGATTGGGAGAGCAAAGTAAAGGTATATTATACAAAAATAAAAAATAAAATTAATCATCCAAATCCCTAAGATCCTTGAAGCCTTAAACACTCTGGTCATCTGAACTATAAATATCAAAAAAATTTATTAAATACCCTACAAATTTAATCCTTATAATAAGATTTAGAGAAAATATGAGGTATCAAAAAGTTGATACCTACTTCTTCAATGAAAGAGAAAACATAGAGGTACTATAGAGTATGTTTGCGGCTAAGATGTGAGATATAAACTAGTGAGCCAGTGAAGGCAAAACTATCCCAATGAGTTGGCAAGTGAATGAACTCAAAATTCTAGCGACCAAGATGAGAAACATAATGATGAGGACATCGAAGATCAACGGCTACAATCGTGTCTATTTATTTTGATGTATTTTATTTGTTATTTGTACTTTTCCCTTTCTACCCTCACTTGAGGGCTTTGTCTTATGTTTGCCCTAGGGGCAATTGTGTCTTTTTGTTTAGCCCAAAGATGTTTTATTTTTTAACATTTTGAGTGCTGCTCTAATTGATTCAATACAAAATATGGACCTTTAGTTGGAAATGGATTATTGCAAACCAAAAGAGGAACATAAATTTAGTCCAACAGAACCTGCAAATAGTAAACTTAAACATGAACACTGCTTTATGAAGAGCATGCACTAATGTGGCCACTGGACACCACCAAACAATTGATCCGTAAACATAAAACACTAGATTTATAAGTATATCCAATTTTGCACCATGAAGTGACACGTGAAAAGAACAATCTACATGATCGAGGGAAAAAAGAAAATCCAAAAATTCTAGAACATTTTAAACTCCAAGCATGCTACGAATTCAGAGCTATTTCATGAAAAAAGGACGTAGGAACAAGATTTTAAGATAAAAAGGAAAAATTAACTAGGTGGCTCAAAACTTATTCATAATATGTACCACAGATCAACAACATAATAATATGTTAATATGCTTTAAAGCCACAACCTTGCGCCAAGCCTGGAAGGAGCCATCTTTGCTAAAGCGCGTTCCACTTCTTCACTAACCTATATAAAACAAAATACAACAATCAATAATGGATTTTCAACATCAATTAAAAATCACAAAAGAAAAATAAGCATCTCTGTTTATGAATATGCATTCTTGAAATCTTAACTAAATTTTAACCTAAGAAATCATCAAAATTATAACACTTGAAAGAAAAATAAATAAATAGGCCAAGAACAGAATGAATTAAAATATTAAATGCAGGAATGGCCTTTTTCTTTTTTGCCATAAGCTTAAGTGCTTAACTGCCCAGCCTAATTTCTCCTGGCTTGGGAAATGGGAAAACATGAGAATGTTTTCTATGACCGTGACAAAGGTAAGTTATTTTGCTGCATCTTTCATAGTTCATAAAACTGAATATGCTAATGTTATGGTTTACCATTCTATTCATATTCATCTAATTACATACATTATGTCATAGTTGATTTAAGCACATAAAGCAAGACTTGAGAAAGTAGAATAATGAAAGGCATATACAATACAGTTTATTGCACACATGATACCATCCATGGCATATCAAAAGCAATTTAAAACTTTTCTATCTTTCAGGAACTTGCTGTAAAGATGTATGACATATATTTGTCATTTACTTCTTAAATACTTTGCTCTAAGTAGATCACCATTAATGATGCATATTTTATCTGAGAAATGAAAACTCAATCTGCATGATGGATGGGCAAAAAATAAGAACGACAGTAGTTATTGGACTTGCATCAAAGAGTTTAGGTTCTATTAAATAAATACGACTAGTGAAAGAAAATTTATATACATCATGTGCAAAAGACTCAAAATATGACAAATATACATTGCAAAGAAAACAGAGGCAGAGATTTTGCGGATAAATTAAATAGCTTCATCTCAAATGCAATGTCAATTTGCAGGATGTGATCATATATTCAATTCCAGTTATTGTGACCAGTAATTTGATAATCTAAAGACACATGATAAGAAAGGGTAAGTGCTCCTCTTACAATTCGGCGGAGTATGGGCTCTAAAGATGAACAAAGCTTCTGCAAGCTATCCAACTTGAGAGCTTCCACAATCACACTGCAGGGGATTTACAGTTTTGTCAATCAAATAGATATGAATTTATAACCATCGCAATCATACCAAATGTGAGGAAAAAAAAAAAGGAAACAATGCATGCATAGAAGAAATAAAATAAAATAAAAAATAGGGGAACATGTGAGAAAATTTTACAAGTGATAAAAAGAAGACTTCAATCCTATGCACTATCAAGCATTTATACCAGCAATGAGTTTTACTCTATCATAATTATCATCATTATTTTTCTTCTTTTGATGTGTTTTTAAAGTGGGTTATAAAGGTAGAGAGAAGTAATAAAACATCATAATTTTGTAGCTTAAGAATCAATGTCTCACAAGTTTGAAACAAGGAATTATTTTTTGCCAAATTGCTCAATTCAGAACATCCATGATTATGCCTGTTATTGTATCCTTGTTCTATTGCATTGTAAGTCCTCTCGACAACCTTCAAGCTGCCAAGAGTTTGGTATGATTAAGAAAGGGTTGGTTGGCCTTAGGATCCTTCAAAAAACTATAAGTTTCTTGCAATCAAGCAAAATTTGGCTTCAAAGTTAGCTATAAATTTTGGAATTTGATAGTTTAAAAATGTTGGCATTACATACACACACACACACACACAAATGATGCCTGTAAAAATTTAAGAAACTATACAATTTCTAAGAAGATAAATAATTACGATGAATTTGAAATATGATAATTCTTCTTATATGATTTGACCGCCAACCCCAATTCATTAATCCATGAGAGGAAACCTTCCAGGCTACCTCCCATTAAATTCCTTTCCAAGTACCAATCCATGGGAGCAAACCTTCCATCTTGGTTCCTCCTTCTTAGATATATATACATGGTAAATCTTGAAAGTCATTTCACTCGTTACTACTGACCAGTCAATCCATGAAGTCGACGACAAACAACACATGCGCCTAAAACACAATTCTTCTAGTCATCCAAACTAATACACCTCAAACAAAAAAAAAAGACAATCTAAATTTCAAAACATAAAGGACAAACAGGAAACAAGGAACCTAAATTTAGTGTCCAAAGATAAAGATCTGCTTCTCTCCTCTTCAAGAGGAAGGTGCCCTTCCACAATACTCAAACAATAACTTGCCAGGTTTTTGAGCTTGAACCATAGTATCATGTCATGATATCCACTCTACACGACTAAGGAAATAACAAAAATTCCAAAAGAAAGAAAGAAACAACAACAAAAAAAAAAAAGTCAACTCCAAGCCTGAGCAAGACAGACCCTACACCATCCCTACCAAAATGCCCAAATCTATAAAAAAGATGAACAATCAACATAACCAAACTTCAATTTGCATCTTATCACTCGCACTTTTCCTACTCCAGATTCTCCATCTAATAGGCCGACGTCTATGCTCAGCTAATTACCTGTTCCTTCGCGTCCAAATCAGCAAGCATAACTCAACAATATCAAATAAAGCAACTGCAAATGCAACGCCTCCAGAGTGACAGACGCAAAGCACTAAACAGTCCATCTCTACTGTACCTTGCAAGAGCTGGGACCTTCTGGCGCTTGGCATCGGGGCCGCCATGCTCTTCTACATCGCTCAGATCCAAAGCCCGCTTCTCTCGAGCCATCGTCGACTATTCCTCGATGTGCCTACCGGGCATCTGCATTTAGAATGGCACCGCAACCGTTCTCCGGCCCAAATATCTATCCGGAAGAAGACCCAGCTATGCCGCCGCCGCCGCCGAATCCGCCGCTACTTCCACCAATAAATCCACAGAATCGATCGGCTGATCAAGTAGAAGATTGCTGCGCGTTTTGTTCTGCTCCAGGGCTGTGGACGGAGCTGGCGACCGTACGGAAGCCTAAAGCTATAAATTTACATACTAATACTATTCTATTTACATATTTAATATCTAAAACTTTAATATTACATATATATCACCTATAATTTATTTTCATATCATGATAGAAATGAAATATATAAATGATAGGAAAGAAATATAAATGACATATTTGATATTAAAATAATATTATGTCATATGCATGTAATATCATAATATATGCAAAAATTTTAAATCAAAGACCTCTTAAGCAAAATTCTATCCATCGAATTTTAAAGAAGAATTTTGACTTTTAAGTGCCTGATAATAATATAATTTATAAAAAAATGAACTTTACTTATTTTTTTAACAAATATATTCAATAATTCATTTCCAATTAAAAATTTAAAATAGCTCCATTTTATTTTACAGAAATAGAATTGGTGATTTTGAAAAAAAAAAATCCTGGCTTTTGATTATTTAATAAATTTATCATTTTCATGTGTGTCCATATATGCATATAACCCCCCGTACTTTTTTTAAATTTTTTAAAGAAGAGATGGATTATTAAATAGACAAGTAAATAATATAGTTGCAAGTTGCCTAAGGGCCTTTTCATTCCACACTATTAAATTGGGTGGATAATATTATCAAGGAAAGTTTATTTTTAAGCTAGCAAAATTATCTATGAATTTATTTTGTGTTACATAAAAAATTTAGTTATAATAATAATACTTAATAAATTATATTTTTATTAAATATCTATATTGACAAATTCTATTAATATTAAATATTTAAAATTAAATTAAGTATTACAAAGATGAGGACACTCAAGTGGATGAGTGGCTTTGAGAAAATGCAAAACGAAAATATATATGAAGAGGTTTAAGTAACTCTAATGACATATAAGAGTACGGAGAGTCGTCTTATATGGTTTGATTTTATTAAATATCAACCTTCGGATGACTCAGTTAGGACTTATGAGAGTAAATATATTAAATTTAGCTAATGTTAAGAAAAATAGATGTAAGATTAAAAAAGATTTGGTTATAAGTTATTATAAAAGACCTTTTTATTATATTTAGGTTTTATTTAGGACAACTTTCTTTTCTCTTTTAAAATTAAATTTTTAGTACAAAAATTTCTAGTTTAAAAGACTTTCATACTAAAAAATTATTAAAACAAAAATTTAAATGAGAATTTAACTCTTAATAGAACACAATAGAAAAAAAAATTTATAGTCAACCCCACATAGTAAAATAAAAACTTGATATTATTATTATTGTTAGGATTCCTTTATTTTTCTATTTTAGAATTTTCTATAAAAACTTTGTAGAAATTATCACCACCGTAAATTATTTTACCAGCGTCAATTTTAAGGCAGTTTTTATTCATTTCTGTAGAAGTTCTGAGCAATTTATCAAATCCAGAAAAGATGTTAGCCAATAGCCATACGACTATATTCTCTTCTTCTTTTTTTAATATTCATGACAAAGTCACAAAACAATAAGAGCTTGCTAATGCTGAGAATAGAAGACAAAAAAATATTCATTAGAGATAACTTTTTTTTTAATGGAGAAATGTAAGACTTTGACTTTAGATAACAAAATGTTATATTTTATTAGTAGTCTTTTAAAAAAAAAACTGTTTTTATTATTGTATAAATTTTGTTTTAAAAAAATCTGGGCATATATATGACAGTATAGAAAATTTATTTAAATTTAAACATATTTTTCAAATTTAACTATTTTATTTAATATTTAAGGATGTTTATTTACATTTAATATACGACAAATCCTTCTTCTTTTTTAGGTGGGGGGGGGGGGGGGGGGTTTAGGGGGGGATTTTTGTTCTTTTAATCTATAGTCGTTTCTGAAGTGGCTGAATACATCAGGTTTGTTGTATGATAGAAAAGTCTTAGACCTGCAATGCTATTGGTGTAGAATGTTATCTATTAAAAGAGAGCATAATATTAAGTTAACTGCTACATATATGAGGATGTTCAAATGGATAAGTGGTTTAACTCTTATAGATAGAATACAAAATGAGCATATATTTGAGAAGGTTAGAGTAACTCCAGTGGAAGATAAGATGAGAGAAAGTCACCTTAAATATCTTGGTTACATAAAATATCAGTCTTCTAATGCCCCGATTAGGAAAGTAGACGCATTAGATATGATTTTTTTTTTTAGATATGACTTATGTTAAGAAAGGTGGAGGTAGACTTAAAAAAAACCTTGTTAAAAATATTAAAAATTACCTTTCTTTATTAAATTTAAATGAAAATTTGACTCGACACAATGGAGTAAAAGAATTCATATAATCCACCCCACATAGTGGTATAAAGACTTGATGCTGTTAATATTGTTGTAGTCGTTTGTGTAGTCCTTAATCATGAAGGTTATATCAAGAATTAATGCTGTCAAGAAGCTTTGACTTGCATCAAAAGCCTTTATCATATGCAAGTATTTAACTTCAAAATAGATATATTTTTCACTATTTAAATAAATAAAATTACTAATGCTGTAGGGATATGCTTGGGTAAATTTAATCACAAAATTATTATATTATCTTTAAAATCAATGTAATTTAAATTTTAATTGATTAATTATGAATTAGTTGAATAACTTATCCTACTCGGATACTTAACAACAATCAAATTCAAACACGAGACAAAATAAGAAAATCAAATTTGAATTGCATTATGTAAAGAAGATCAAATATGAGAGCTTGACAATAAGCTCTCATATCTGATTTGAAAGGATAGCCAAACGTTTTCTTCAACTTTGTCATCTACCAGTCTGAGTTGCCTTATTGAGACATGGGAGAACGGCCTAAAATGCAAAACCAAATCTCACGGCAAACGAAATCCGCTGTAGACGGAAAATTCCGCCGATTCGTTCTAAATCCCGGATTTCCGAAATCGTGTATTTTGTCAGATTTACAAAATCCGTGACGGTTGAGGAAGAGTCCGCTCGGTAAATCCTGCTCTATAGTCAAACAGTCACATGAGATTTAAGATGATTTATGATGAATGTTACCAAACAGTTTTCAAGATTTAAGCCCCTCAGGATTTTCAAAATCTAGATTTAGAAGATTTACGAAATCCTACTTAAATCAAATCTGAGGTGCTACCAAACAACCCCTACGTGTTCGGATATTTGAATGTTCAAAACGACAAAAGTTATGAGTGGGATTGATTCTTGGAACACTCCCAGGTTTTAGCTAGCCAACATTATGAAAAGGTAACCTTGTTCACAAATAAAGTGAGGAGGATAATAATACCAGAATCATTTGGTGTAGGGTTAAAATGGGCTTTTTAGTAAGAAACCATAAACCAAGTTTTTTCTTCTTGTATAATGAATTGGTCAAAAGAAAGAGTAAGTAAATGAAAGTAGGATTAGAGAGAGACACTTAGAGGAGAGATGATTGAGAGTTGAACAAGCAGAACTACAGGATAGCTTTATCTAGATTGAGATGACCTCTCTTTAGCAATTTGCTCCTCATTTTTTCTTGCTGGGATCTTCTTCTTGTGTTCCTTGCTTCACTTGCTTTCTTGCTCTTGATTTTTCTGTATATTGCTTCTTCTTGATTACACGCAAATCCCTTTCTCCTTCCTCCTGGCATGCGTAGAGTGAATTGAGAGAGGTCTCTTTACAAAGCAAGGTGGTGGTACTATTTCATGGAGAGAGGAGCATAGTCGGCATAACTTTGCAAGTAGGGATTCCTTGGCCATTTAAATGGAGATATGGAGAGACTCAACTTGCCACAATTCATTGAACAAATTCATACAACAACAACAATAAGCCTTTATCCCATTATGTGAGGTCGGCTACATAAATAATTTCTACATTGTGTCCTATTAAGAGTCAATTTCTCATCTAATGCTTAGTTTGGGACAACTTTTCTTCTGCTTCTAAAAACAGCATTTTCTAGTATAAAAATTAAAATTTTTGTACTAGAAAGTTGCTTTAAGAAGCGGTAAAAAAGCCGTCCCAAATGAAGCCTAAATCTAATAAAGAAAAATCATTTCTAATATTTTCTAACCAATTTGTTTTAGGTTTACCACTATCTTTATTCACATAAATCAAATCTAATACATCAACTTTTCTAACCAGGTCATCGGAAGGCCGCCGTTTTAGGTGACCAAACCATCTAAGGCGACTCTCTCTAATCTTATCTTCCACAGGAGCTACTCCAACCTTATAATATTTTCTAAACACTGTCTTGCCAGGTATCAAATCCTGAATGAAAAAAGTGGAGGGTTGTATTAGGTAGTTGACAACTAGCATAAAACTTGTCGAATAATAATGAAATGAATCCTTTAATATATTGAACAAATTCATGAATTAATAAATTCTTGAATGATTGAAACCATAGATACTAACTACTATTTGGAGAAAAATAAAAGTTGGGATAACACGATAAATTATACTCTCTCTCATGCATGAGAAATAAGTTATCAGATAGGCTACAATCCTTGTTTAGAGTACCTCTTCCTCCTATTTGAATAAAACCTATCTATCTTTGGTAAAATGCCATTTTAATCACTCTTTGTTCTCCTTGTTAAGGTTGAAACCCTTCATCTTATGAGATTACATTGGTTTTTAAATTCAAGGCTTTATGATTTTAAATGTAGCCCATCTTATAACCTATATGTAGCCTTGTATGATCCATATATCCAATTGAAGACCGTGAATCAGATTTTGACATAATTATGGATCTAAGTTTAGTCTTGATTTTGTGTGGTTAAGCCTAATGTTATCCTCAGGTTGGTGAACCTTTTTTATTCACCCATATAGCTTGGTTAGCTATTTAATCAAAGCTTAAATTGCATGAAAGAGCCATGAGCCATCAAAATCATAGTGCCTCCCTTTGGCTTCATTTGTTCATGCAAATCAGAAATAATTATTAAAAAAATTATATTTTGTAGTTAGCCTAAGTCATATAATCAGCCCAAATAAAGTTGCAGCAAGTAGCAGTCACTCAACTAATAGAGTTGGCTCAATAAAGATAATGGGTACTCTTCCTCTTAGAGTTAGCTAGTAACCAATCCCTATTATTGGAATTGATCTAATTTTTTAAGTAGCCACACCAATTATGTGATTAAACTAAAGTACCTAAACAATGAGGCTTGATCAACCATCTAAATGGTATGATTAGCCAAATATGGCAAGTTCTCATCCTTTTGTAGTAGTAACCATAGGCATGCCTTCTAATGTCTCACAAGCATTTATGGATAAATCCTCTTGAACCTTAGCACATTTGAAGGAAGATTGCACTAGTGAAATTGTATTAGTAATGGCAGTTGAATGTCTACTATTCATGCTCCTGAATTACAACTATTAAAATTTCTAGCTACCTCATTTCACCTTCATCTTATTATGTTCAACAATATCCTTTGCATCAATTCTTGTTGCATCATGTATGTCCTAAATGGTAGCTTGGTCCTCTTAGATACACATTGGGTCCTATGTCGGCCATTGGCGATCGTCATGGGTACTCTTAAAGTCCAGTTGAGTTCTTGTAGTATTGAATACTTCAATACTGGAGAGATTTGCCTTTTTTGAGAATTTTTAAAGGCTATATGCCTTGCTAATCCAATGACAAGCAACACTAGTCAATTCTTTTTTTTTTTTCTTCCAAGACACTCTTCAAGTTAAAGGGGTTCTCTTTAACATGATTTTGAGTAAGCACACCATGGTAGATTTGGGGTTTCCTGATTGACCTAGTTTCCACTCTCAAAATCCCTTAAAAGGATTTACACTCTGATTTCAAAAATGATATATGATGCAAATAGGAGTTGTTTGTTAATCCTCTCCTCAACCCTGGATGTTGGATTTGTGTATGCTCCAAAGAAAAAAAAACTATGGGTTGTCATGGCTATTGGAACAACTTTAGATATTAGTTAATTGAGGTTATGAAAGGATAATCTTGATTGCAAATGAAGTGCAAAAGGATAGTAATATGAGACTGCTTTGGTTAGGGGTTAAGATGTGCCTTTAAGATAAGAAACCCTAATTCAGGTTTTCCTTCTTGTATAATAAATAGACCAAAAGAACCGACTAAATAAATGAAAAATGTAGAACTAGAGACGTACGCTTGAAGAAATATAGCTGAGAATTAACTAAACATAACCAAAGATAGCTTTATTCATATTAAGAGGACACCTTTAAGTGTCTTGCTCCTCTTCTGTTCTTACTTTGATCTTTTCGATCGTGTCCCTTCCTTCACTTTCTTTCTTCATCTTGTTTTTGCCTTGATATTGATTCATTAAGTTTTTCTCCCTTCAATATTGCACCAAAATCCCTTCCTTCATCTTAGCTCCGATAAAGAGAGTTTCGATATATAGGTTAGCTATTATGCTAAAAGAGGTGGTGGCTTGACTTTCTTGGAATGGTTAGCCAAAAAATTTAAGTGCCGCCTAAACAAATTAGAGAAAGAAAGATATCAACTTGCTAATCCATTAAATAGATTGTAGAGTGAAAGAATTTATGATTCATTGAAACCCTACATACAAGCTATTATATATAAAAAAAAATGTAAAATCTATGTTAAGCATGAAAATTAATAAGAATTAATCCTTTAGTAAAAATGTGCTGCGACCTGCGAATATATATTTTTGATAATATTTTCACTTTTTGGCGTAAAACCTACATATACTCAAATAAAATTCCCCATTCGAATGCATTTCTCTCTCCTTGTTCTTTTGATGGTTAGTTCATTCATCATAGGAGCGGGGGAGTTAAGTTTTAAATTCAAGGCCTCTTGATTTGAATTGAAACCCATCTTGTAGTCCCCATATAGATTTGTATGCTTCGTGCACTCAAATACACATTTGACAATGAGCCAAGCATTCTAACTAGATTTTAAGTCTAACTTTAGACTTAAGTTTGAGCCTAAGGTAGATGAACCTAGCATTAGTGCAATATTGATGCACCATTTTGATCCACCAATATAGCTTGGAGAGCTAGTTAAGCAAACCCACATTGCCTTTTTCCTTCTTGATTATGAATGTAATGTATTCAACCTTTGTATGAAAGAAATTTGGAGAAGCTAAACTCTTAAGATGAAATAAATTAGCTAGATCTTTGAATTGCTAAATCAAAAGAGTTAAGCTTTAGGTTTCCTTTGTTATCCAAGAACTAAGATTTCAGCCAAGAGGCTTGAAGGAGAAAATGAAATGAAGAATATAATAATTTCATAACCACAAATAGAGATGTTAAGAAGGGGCAGGCAACCCATATCTGACACAAGTGAACCATATATTGAAATTCCTTAGTTTTGTGGCACTCCATATCAACATGACACTCATTAGAGATGTAGCATCTATCAAACTTGGATTGAAATGCTCATGTTGTAGCCTTTGAACAAGGGTCCATGTAGGTCAATCAATTTGAAGCAACTTAACTCATGCCTCATTGGTTCGATTAACCAAGAAGGGTCAACTTTGATGGAATTAGCAAAAATGCCCAGTCGAGGTTGATTGAACCATATAGGTAGAGAGCCTCAAGATCACAAGTGAACCAAATAAATATCCTCAAACACAAATTCAACCTAAACATTTATTCTTAATCATAGGTTTAACCTATTAGTATTGCTTCTATATTGGAGATAAAATCCCTAGCTTGTCAATCATCCTATGCTTCAAAGCATATGTCTACAAACAAGTTTGCCTTTGCAAAGTTTATCGCTAAATCTTAAGAAGGATTTCATTCATAAACTTTGTTAATGTATAGCACCTACATTTCTTAAACATGTACATCACAATAAATCCACTTAAGCAACAAAACTTTAAATAATCACATCATGAATTAAACAAACTTTGAAGTACACAAAAAAAGATGAAAAAAAAAACAGCAAAAGCACAAAATTGAAAATCCTATTGAACTTTGTGGATGGGATAGCATGGAAAGGACGGGAGATAATATTAATGCAACACACTCAGAGAAGATCTAAACATCAAAGCAGGTGAGCAATTTATTACTTAAATCATATAGAAATTGTTGACAAAATTCTATCATTTGTGTAGCACAGCCAAGGTCTCTAAGATGGCATTTCTAGTGAAAATGTCAGCAAATCAACTTAACCACCGCCTCAGCTTAACACATGCTCAACTGAAGTCCAAAGTGTACATTTCCTCAAAAATGTACTTGACATTAAGTAGTCTAAAAAGATATAAGCAAACCTATATAAACAATTCCATCCATGAATTTAGCTGATTGCACGAAGCATTTCAACTATAATTTCTTTCCTAAAACAGTTAATAGTGCCAGTCAAAGAACATTTATTGATCATATTTATTTCCAGATAAGTAATTGACGCAATACTGTACTCAGGATTCTACTGATGAAACTTCATCATCCTTATGCTTCACCATGCCAGAATCAACCAGAATAGGCACCTCCGCTGCCAACCATGGTGCAAGGCCCAAGCACAAAGCGTGAGCAATTCCAAATCGTGGACTGTTTCCAAGAAAATCCTCAATTAGGAGCAAGCAAAACAATAAAGGAACACAATTATCTCCATAAACCAAAGCTCATAATGCAAAGGCGAGTCAGTTACCAGTTCTTGGCCCAGAGGGGCTTGAAATGTACTGTCAGGCAGATCTTCCCTCCCCTATACATCTGATCAAACATAAACCTAAAAATAAGCATTGGCGTGCACTTGAATCGAAGAAAGAATCAAGAATTCAAAAAATAAAAAAGAAATCAAAGAGAAAGGAAAGCAATCAACCTTGTGGGTCTTTCCATCAAGTTCGGGCAGCTCGATCTCAGGGGCTGTGGTGGGATAGGTGACGGGGATGTCGAATTGGAGACGGAACTCGTAGCGTCGGAGATTGTGGACGTACCAGCAGGATCCCGTCCATCGAGTGCCCTCGGGGTTATCGGCGGAGATACGGAACCAGTCATTGTCATTGGATTTGTTCATCGAAGTATACGCAATTAGGGCTCGGTACTCCTCCTTCAAGCGCTGCGTCCATGCCGCGCCATCGCGGGGTCCGGCGCGGGTCGCGAGCAGTGGGATCTTCGTAAGGGCTGACTTCGTGTTCGGATCCCATTCCTCCATGGCCTAATCTGCCGATTTTCTGGTAGGACTAGAGGCTACTCTGCCTGCGCGGCGATGATATCGGAAGACAAAATTGAGATGCGCGCAAACAAAAGAATAACGGAGTTCTTTTATGTGATATTTGATAATAACCGAGAAATATCACTACAGTATGGTTCGAATAAGATTCATAAAAAGCTCAATCTTTTAATATGAGATATGAATTTTATAATTTTATTTAAATCATGTGCTAACTTTTTTTAAAGTATTGTTTGAGTCTTGTTTGAACTAAGTATACATTTACTTAAGAGCAAAATCTTGAGAAGGCTTCAAACCTTATTCAAATCGTATTCAAAATTTATTTGGACTTGTTTTATCTTATTCAAATTATGTTTGAATATTACTCGAACTAAATTAGGACTAATATTGGACATTTGTTTAATAACGAAAGTTTGAATATGATTCAAACATTATTCAAACTTTAATTTTCCCATTATGTTGTGTGGAAACATTTATTTCAATTATTTTGCTATAGGGGTGCAAATGAATAGACTCGAGCATGAGTCGGGTGCAAATGGAGCTCAAATCGCGAGCTAAATCCTGAGCTCGAGTCATTGAAAACGAGCTTGCGAGCCTTCCACAGTTCGCTTCCACAGTTCGTAGGTCCGCTTCTGCCTTCCATTTTCCTCTCTCCTCGTTCCCCTCTCCTTCTTCTTTCCTTCATTACCCGCCAAGCCAAAAAAATTGGAGGGAGAGAAAGGGTTGAGTGGAGAGAAATAGATATAGATATAAACTCAATTCAATGCTCAGTACCGCGACGCTATGGCCTAATGTCACTGCATTGCATGTTGAATCCAGAATGACTGTAAAACAAAGCTTTTAACACCTTTGCAACAATTTTTGGTGCTATTGCTCTCACAAGCACAGCGTCGTAACACCCATAAGCATAGCGCCACAATGTTCCCATTCAAACAAAAATTCATATTTTTATTTTAAATTTATTTTCTTAATTGTCAGTTTGTTTACATTAATTGTACTTTAGCTTCTCTTTACTTTGAAAAAGCTCAATTTGAGGAATTGTGTAACAAACTTAAAGTTTAAAATAAACTTTTTTTAAAAACATAAAAATTATATGTTAGGTGTTGCGGCGTTGTACTTGTGGAGTGGAATAATGAAAACTCCATATTAATGTTGGATGTCATTCCTTGCTCTTTATAATCACATTCATTATTGCATTTACATGATAGTGCATTCGGTTATTTTGATATATACAACTAATATAGAACTTATTGAATTTACATCAATACTAATACAACATAGCATAATATACTAACACGGTATGACAATGAAATCATGTACCTATTTGTATTATGATGTTATAGACCTCTTTAACTTTACTAATCATATTGATTTTACTGTTGATTGATATTGATTGTATAGATTTCTTAGTGTTTACATTGATAGCATATCGATTGATATTGACTTTGACTAGAGCGAGCATATTGATTACTTTGTCTTACACTGAATATAATGGCAAGTTTAAGTTAATTACTTGGTTTTTATGCTTATTATGTGGTTTCTATTATTTCATGTAAATATAATGAGCTTATAGAACATGGCTAAGTAGTGATGATGGTTTGATGCTAGTTTAGTTTTCTCTAGTTATTGATCTTATGTATTCTTTTGTATCTTGTGGTGGTTTATTGTATATATGCTTTTAGACTTTGAACTTTGAATCAACATATAATTATTGATTATGAAAATATAATTATGTTTCCTTTTGTTTATTGTTATTTAAATTATTCTCTAAGTGTAATTAGTTAGCTCTAATTATCAGTAATTCGATTATTAAATAATCAAAAAGAAAAAAATATAATAAAGATAAAATAAATAAAATTATTTCATTTAAGATCTTAAGGTATCAGTAATTGATTGTGCTTCATTATAATGATCAACAACTCTAATTTTAGACTAAATTATTTATTATATACATCTAACACATTGTATATGAGATCAAAATCTTAAAAAAAAAAAGAGAGAAAAACTTCTTGTACTATTAATCATTTCCTCTTTTTTTAAATAAACATCCAACCAACTTGTATGTCATCCTTCTATTCTCCCTCCATATAATATGAGAATATTAACATTTGATTTATGTGTAAAAAATAATTTATCAGTATATAATCTTGCAATCACTCGAATATTACTCAAACATGAATTGAACAACATTTGAACATTTATTTTGACCATGCTGTTAAAACATGAATTGAAATGTGATTGTACTTTATTCAAACCATGTTGTTAAAATACATGAATGAATTATGTTTGGACTTTATTCGAATAACGATGGAATAAAAACTGATATTGGTTTGAGTAACAACCAAACACCATTATATTTGATATTGTTGAACCATATTTGATCAAAGTTTGGATAGGGTTCAAACACAAATTGAGCACATATTTTAGTAAGTATTGAAACATTCTATTTGATACTCTATCTAGCTCCGTGTTAAAGCTCTATCAAAATGACCTAATATACAATACATGATGGAAACATTAAAAAAATTAGTAACTATGTATGCTAAAGTCGCAAATAAACAAAGAAATACTAGCTTCACTTGTGTTCCTATACAACCAAATATAAGTATAATAGAGTATTTTGGTCCATTCAAAATCTTTATACATATTTCTATGAAATGAAATATATATAAATTTAAAATATTTGGTATAAGGGAATTATATATACATTTTTTTAATTATGTTATAATAAAATTGATTAGCAAGATAGATCGAACGATATAACGACTCTTAAATGGTCATTGAACTCTACTAGATGGGTAGAAAAACTAGAAATCTACTTCATGTTCAAGATATATTGGCATAACAAATAATAAATAAATCAAATAAGATAAATGATTGATTAGATATTCTTAAATATATAATAATTAATTTAATGTGATTACACATGTATGGATAATGTTTCTTTTTATATGACTGGTTATACACACTATCATATTATATATCATTGCAAATAATTTACATTATTTTATAATTATTTACATTAAATGTTATTATGACATTATGCTACTTTGCTTTATTTTACTATGTGAAAAAGCTCTAAACAAATATAAGGGTAATTTTTTATTTCATACAGCAACAGTAGTACCAAACAGTCTAAGGCTTTGTTTGGGATGGCTTTTTTACTGCTTCAGAAAGCAGCTTTTAATACAAAAGTTTTTTGTTTACTAAATTTTTGTACTAAAAAAGCTGTTTTAGAAAGCACTAAAAAAGCTTTCACAAACTAAGTCTAAGATTTGATTTAAGAGAGATTTTTTTCTGCTTTCTAAAGTAAATTTTAATGCTAAAAAATTGCTTAAGAAAGCAACAAGCTAGAAATTTGTCCAACGAAGGCTTCCGTCTGGAATAGTTTTTTTTATTACTTTTTAAATTAATTTTATAAATACTAATTAAAAAAATTTGTTATAAAAATTATTTTAAAAAATAGTAAAAACATATTTTAAATAAACCTAAATCATTTTATTATTTTATGCGTGATCAGGGTGTAGCAACTTTCATTTGTTAAATAAATCCACAAAATTTTTATTTATTTTTGAATACAAGTTGAGCAGCGTAGCGTTGCAATCCCATATTAAAGATCACACCGAGGAAAACTCTCCAAATAGAGACGATATCCGCCATAGCTGTCGCGCTATCAGTAGGGCATAATCCTCATGATATACCCCGCTATTCCGTGATTCTTTCTTCCCCCGAACTCTGAAAGGGGAGAAGGCGGAAGAAGAGGAATTGCTCATTCAGATCTTCTGGCAGGTACCGCTCCTTCCATTAATGTCCGCAGTAGCAGAAATAATTGCCATCTCTCACGCCTCTCACGCTCCTGCTTCGAATTGCTTTACTTTGGATCTTCCAGAGCTGATGGGCGGCGCGCTGGTGCCGGCATAGCTTGTAAGGCAGAGCACAAAGATTCTCATTGTTGGGGGAAAACAAAAAAAAAATACCTTGGTATAGTTCGGGTATGATGTTGTATGCGAGATTCTGATCCTTGTCAAGAGGTCCATTTGGAGAGAAGCATCCATGGCTTCCACTGCCGCGGTTCTCTGATTTGATCCCCATGTGCAATTTAGGAGTTGTGGGATTCCCTATTCCTAAAGAATTCCTTTGCTTCTCTGCGGCTGCAGCTGGTACGATGGACTCCCCCGCTCTTCCCTCTCCTGGTTCAGGCGATGAGCGCGGCCCGCGCGCCAAGTTTCTCTGCAGTTTCGGCGGCAGTATACTCCCTCGCCCGCTTGATGGGAAGCTCCGTTACGTCGGCGGTGAGACCCGAATAGTTACCGTGCCCCATGACGTGTCGTACGAGGATCTCTTGGCTCGGATGCGTGAGATCTTTGAAGATACATCGGTGATAAAGTACCAGCAGCCGGAGGAGGACCTTGACGCCTTAGTCTCTGTGGTGAATGATGATGATGTGATGAACATGATGGAAGAGTACGAGAAGCTCAGCACTATCGGAGATGGATTTACTCGCCTCAGAATCTTTCTCTTTTCTCAGTTTCCCGACGCAGACGAAGCTATAGCCGTCGCCCATTTTGATGCTGATGAGAGGGAGACGGAGAGGAGATATGTGGATGCCCTCAATAGCTTGACAGATGTCAAATCTCAATCGCCAATGGATTTTGCCGATCAGTTCTTGAGCCATCGCCCCCTCCACTCCAATGTTCCTCAACCTGCGCATGGGCAGAAATACGGGGAAGCAGATAATCCGTGGAGCCCTGCATACTTCTCTCCTGGATATCATGGCGCCCAGGAACTCAGAGAATACCCCGGCTCACCGTCATCTGTAAGATGCCGTAACTTTGGAATCGGAGACTTCCCTGATCAAAGCTCAATCCAAATCGAGCATCAGTCAACTCCAGCAATGGAGAATGTGATCTGGCTGCCCCCTGGAGCCATTATTCAAGAGAAATCTGGCTTTCCTATTCATCTAGGTTATCACCACAACGCCTATGAGGGAAATGCCATGTGTGAGCATAGCCACATGACTTTTAAGAGAGGGCAAACTCCCATGCCAAATTCTCGTTTTAAGCACGGGCAGCATTACTTCGACCTAGCTAATGCATGTGCCGAGTGCTACCATGGTAGAGACCCTTATATTTTAAACCAGGACAGGAGAATGGAACATGGAGTATTTATAGAGGACTCTCAAAGGCATGATGGGAGCTGGATTCTTCACCCCCATCACAATAACATGAGGATGGATGATTCACGAGTTCATTTACCCAAACCTGGAAGAGGAGGAGAGCACTATGCTGTTGATGCGAAAGCTGTTAATTCTCCTTATGTGCATGGAAATTTTTGTGAGGGAAATGAAGTGTATCAGGCTCAACAAACAGATAGAGCTATTCCTCAAATGCATACTGATGGTTTTGAAGACAATGGAGTCCACTATGGGAACCAACCTTCTGTGTATGGAGAGGATAGCTTCTACCAGTTTCAGCATAATTTGCCTCCTCTTCATCTACGGAGAAAAGTGCAAGTTCCTTTAGGTCCTGGAACATCATATGAGTTGCCAGGATTGCTGGTGTCAAATGGTGCAATGGCCTCGGGCCCTGTACATGGTTATCAGGATGGAAGCCCTAAGCTTGCAGGTCTTGGGATGGATGTTAAAGCTCAGAGTCCTTGGGCTACACGAAATGAACATTTCTCGCAGAAAACTGCTGCATCAGCTTCTCATAATGAGCATGATCTGAGAGCAAATAGTAATGCATGTCCCATTGATACCACTTCTGAAAATCCATGCCGAACAATTTTGGTTCCATTAATGCCTAATGGAAACCAATTTACACCCAGTTGTGCGCCAAAATATGGTGCACCTGAGGGTGCAAGAATTCTGGAGAAAAATGGAGCTTTGGCAAAGCGTACTGAGGAGAGTTCTGAAACTACCAAAGTTGCCAACTCTGATGCTAAGGATACTGTTGAAAATGCTGATATCCGAGTGGAAAATTTGGAAATATTACCTGAGTTGATTGCTTCTGCCAAGAAAGTGGCATTAGAAGGTGCTGAAGTGGTGAAGGCTGTGGCTGAAAGAGACACTGCTAATGTTTTGAATGTTGAAAATGCTGAGGAACCTCCCTCCAGTGTGCTAGAGCAAGGGGTAAGGGCTTAAATTTTTTTCTCAACGATGGTTTGCTTCTATCTAGTTTCTTTCTGAACCTTTTGATTGGCAGAATGCTCATGCTGAAGGGGAGGTTGAATCTGATGGAGATGATGAGAACAAGAGTTTTCCAAGGATTGAACCTACAACAGCTGAAACTGAAGCCTTGGCTAAAGGGTTGCAGGTTTTTGACAATTTTCATTACACTTATCGATATCAAACTTCCATTTCACATTTTTATTCTGATTAATATGCATGTAGACTATTCAAAATGATGACTTGGAAGAAATCAAAGAGTTGGGTTCAGGCACCTACGGGGCTGTGTACCATAGCAAATGGAGAGGTTCTGATGTTGCTGTAAAAAGAATAAAAGCTAGCTGTTTTGCTGGGAAGCCATCTGAACGAGAACGTTTGGTGATTTCCTATTCTTTTGACTTTATTTCTTCTACTTTTACTTGTTTTTATTCAGCCTGCTTTTCCTGCCAAAGGTGTTTAGTTTCTCCAAATTAACCTTGTCGGTTATCAACCTTTTTCAGTTATGCATACTTGCAGAATCTTAGATGGCAACATAGTTAGAATATCTCTAATGATGATTATGATGATCGTGATGCATAATTTTGTAGTTGTACATTGGAACTATTGTTCGAATAAATGCTGGCTGTTTTGTATCTGGGAAGATTGCTAACAACTTAAAGACCATTTAGTACTTTGCTTGGCATGATATTAGCCTAGACAAGCACTTGTAATACGCAAATGTTTCCACCTTTTTGGCACAATACTCTAAGGTGCTTGCACTAGAATGATACTTATAACTGTCATCATAAGTTGTGCCTTAAAAACTAGGAGATAGAGCTGCCACTTCAGTAAAGGCAACATTCAGGAAGACCAATCTTTCTTTTTCTATTTCTTATCCACTTGATACTTTATTTGTGAAGCATCTCTTGAGTCACGGACTTCTTGCATTCACAATTTTACGGAAGACATTTTGAGTTGGTCTAATTTCAATTACCTCTACGTCTGTGTATTGATTTCTATTTGAAACTTTATTTAAACGCTTTGGAGCATTCTAATGAATTGTGTAAATGGAAAGCAAATTTGATGGCATCAAAGTAGAGCATGCATCTCTTTGAATCTATATTCTTTAACTAAAATTATCAGTTTATCACTTCTTGAGAATTACTGTTATTTTAATGAAATACATGCGGACTTGATGTTTTTTTTATTATTTACAATTTTATCATTAGCCTTAGCATAAGTATTTAAGGTAAGTTCTATGAACATTCCTCAATTCATTCTTGTTTAGTGTTAAATTAAGTATTAACTCTTTTGTGTGTTTTTTCCGCATCTGATCACATTGCATGTGTTGTACTCTTTTTTCTTCACGGCCTGTCCAATCAATTTTTTACATGCTATTTTGTTGCATCATTTTTTCCTTCATTTGTTCATTGTCGTAGTATTGTTCCATGATAATCCTCTCATACTCTAACATTTCATATGATTAGTCTCTAGAGCGGAGCCTAATCTTCTTGAGAGCTACATGCACGCTTAGCTGGATTATTTCCCAGGAGAGGAGAGGATAACACCAACTTTGCGTAAGTGCAATAGGCCATGTAGAAGAACATATGGGAGGGCAAGGGAGGAGGGATAGAAGGGGTCAGGCTGTTCATGATCCTATTTTTGAGCCAAGCCAAGATAGCTTGAAATTGGATTCAAGGAATTTAAGATGGCTCGAGATAGGATTGTGGATCGATTTTAATTGATTTTGGGTTCTCTTGAATCAGTTGGCTTGATCTCAAGCTAACCCATTTTGATTTTAGCCTGATCGAATTAAATTTGGTCGATTTGGTACTGACATTTTTTTTTAATTCACGCAGGCTCAAAATTAATAAAAAAAATTGAATTGTAAAAATTCCAATAATTTTATCAAAATATTATTAAAGAAGAAATTAATGATGAGAAGAAAAAGGTAAATTGAGATAAATTTTGCACATGAGAATTACAGTTTTAATTATATAAATTAATTTTTATTACATAATTTTTTTACATTTATCCTTCTAATTATTTTGCTGGATTTGAGATTTCTCCTTGTGCGTGAAATATGAGAACCAATGAAATATCAATCTTAAAAAAAGAAGAGTTATTTAAAAAAAAGTAATAACACAAATATTAAAATATTAATTATGTAATCATAATGCCCTAAAAATATTAATTGTGTAATCATAACACCTCTTTTCTGTCTCTATCTCTACCTCATACTCTCCTTTCCCTTTTTTAAAACTCTTTTATCTCTCTACAATCCTTATCCTCCCATTCTGTCTCTAAATCAAGGGAGAAATTTTTTCTCTCTAGTCCTCTCTCTCTCTCTCTCTATATATATATATAGAAAAATAAAGAAAAGCACAAAAAAAGTTAAAAAAAAACCAAAAAAGAGGAGAAGAAAAAGAATATAAAAAAAGAAAAAATTATGTTTTCGTCGCCTTGTGATTTCCTCGTCGTCATCACCGTAATCTAGCAGAATGTATAACATCAAAAATCTCAAAATAACATGCACATTGTTTCAACATAGCAAGAAAGTTTTATACATCAAAAATCTCAAAATAACATGCACATTGTTTCAACACAGCAAGAAAGTTTTGTAAATAAGTACTTATTCGCATTGTTATAACACAGGAAAAGTCACGCTTTCGCTCATGCAGGTGCTTAAGACTGCACACATTTTTTTGAAGACTCCTGACCACAGTATTACACGACGCCGACCATTCCAGTTCGTTATTAGCTTAGTGGGTAGGCCGTAGGCCTAGTATTACCCGTGGATGTCCTATACATGAGAGTGAGCAGGAGGCTTTTGAAATCTTATTTGAATGCCAATTAAATAAGGGAACAAATGAAAAGACCTGCATGACTAAAAATGCAACAAAATAAAAATTTAAATGTACACTAAGGATACAATAAAAACACATAAATGCAACTTTTATTATTTCAAATGAATACAATCAAGCTTAACCAAGGGGCTCATAATGAATACTACAACTCACCTATTGACAAGAATAAAATTTTCTTTCTCCAATTGAATAAGCAAAATTCTATAATTACACATTAAAATGAAACTTTGGCAATGTAAAAAAAATATGTAAGGATTTCTGCTTGCCTTCAACACCATTGCATTTGTAATACATATATGTAAGCTGACAGAAGGTGCCTTTTTAAAAATTTAAAAACAAAAAATTGTGTGTATTTCAATGATAAACTCTCACACAAAAAATCAAATATGAATATTTTAAAATCTCGTACATATAAAAAAAGGCAATCTTTAGATTTAAGTATGTTGCCCTAAGAAGCATGTCACTACCCTGAGAAGCATGCAATATCCTAGGGAAGCATACTGTTGGCTCGAGAAGCAAGTTTTTGCCTTAGGAAGCATGCCACCAGCTCGATAAGCATGCAAACGTCTCACAAAGCATGCCATTTTCTCGTTAAGGATGCTATCTTCTTAAGAAATATGCAACTGCTTCTAAATGCATGTCAATATATAAAGAAATGTCTATCTGCCTAAAAATGTGTGTAATTGTCTTAAAATGTCACGACCCGGCCCAGTTAGCTCGCAAGTGCGAGGCGGGAATAGAGGTCGGACAGGATGGAATAAACCTTCATAGCATATCATCAAAAGATCTAACATAAACCAAGCATTTTCAACTATAAAATGAAAGAGTCACTAAAGTAAATCCAATTAAAATTTTCACTTTTCATTTATCTTTCAAAAGAAATATGTACATAGAGAGTTCTTCCAAAAGAAGGGATCCAAACAAATCTAACTCTCACAAAAACAAATCTATACATACAACCTTCTATCATCAAAATAACAAAACTCAAAAGAACCTGCCGCCCGTCATCTCCCTACGACAGTAAGTGCGCGGTGGTTGGTCTGCCATTATCTATTCGCAGGATCTTCTAAAAATTTTTCACAACATGGGTGAGTCATAACTCAATAGGCAAATGCTTTTTCAATTAAATTTAGAGAACAAGGCGAGGGAAATAACATGTACGTCAATACTTTGTGTAGGAACTTTAAACAAATCATAAAAGTTTAGTAACATGCCTCTAGATTAACCATTAAGCCTCTTTCTTTAGTTAAGCTTGCAACTAATTTCTTTACACAATACATGAATTATTTTCATGAATCATAAAATATTTTATATGCATATAATATAATGTATATCTTATAATCACCCGTCTTGGAAGTATCTTTTGTACTGATCATGTATAATTTATTTGGCCATTTCTTTTCCATTTGGTTCATAAGAACCATATTTACCATTTGGTTCATAAGAACCACCATTACCAATGCTCAGAAGAGCATCCCTTTACCAAAGATATCTCCGCATCAACATGCACATACATTCATTATATAATTATTCATATGAATATTCTTATTCGTGCATATGGTCAATTGTCTCCTAATGTGCTATATGATTTCATGATACTATGAGAAAAAAATGAGCTAAGTACATTCTTTATTCACCACTTTAGAAAGAAACAAGTGCATTATATACTATCACATAAGAGATGTACTTGCAATGTTAGATAACACATTATCTCTAAATCATTATCAAATGAGTTCATATAATTAGACAACCATAGAAACATGTGCATGACATTAAGAGCATAATAAGATATAAAAATAGTATGATTGAAAGAATGCTAAAAATCTTCACAACAATATAAACATGTTATGGTGGAAAGGATTGAAATTTTCTTTTAAATTTAAAAGTGCCACATTTACCTATCTCAATACAACGTGCTCCGCCAAATATCCTTACAAACTCTTCCTTTCCACGTGTTCAACACCTAAATGAAACACACACATCATTCCCTACACTCATTATAAATTTAAAATAAATACTATTTTCAAAATTACCTTAAAACTCTAAATTTGGAAAACACATTTTCATTGATTCCTCACATAAACATGTCAAACTCTCCCTTACACCTAATTCATAATTAAATTAAAATATTTTCGGATTTAAAATAATTAGAAAAATAGAAAAATACATTTTGTAAGAAAAACTCAATTTCTTCCCTTAGAAACTATCATAGAACCATTAAGAACCAATTTTATAAAAGTACTATCAAAATTTCTAACTTTATGGAAAAACCCTAAATTTCTCCAACTCAAAACTTCCAAAGAAAATCACATTTCTATACATAAAAAATATCTCCTAATCATTCTCTAACAATCCCCCATTAAAATTCTTAAAGAAAATCAAAGTTTTCTCAAACTCTAGAAATCTTTTCCTGAGAAAAACCTAAGGAAAAACATGAGAAATGGTTCATAAAGTCTCACCTTAGCCTTCTCTTAATCTTCCCTACAATTTTACCCAAATTTGGCCGCCAGAATCCGCCGTCGGAGCCACCCG